ACTCATTGGTACGCAATTAATTTTTCTACCTCGTAACTTGCATTATTTTTTTTCACAAAAAAAAAAAGAAATGCTAGTTAGGTTGAAAACCCAAAAATGGGCAATCTAAGCAAAAAGGGCTTATAAAAAAATGAGTGAGTTGGAAAGGATGGAAAAACAAAAAGAGATGCTAGGATGAAAACCTGAAAAGGCTCCTAGGCAAAATGAGAGATATGAGAGATATATTTGTTTTTGCAGAACATCATTTAATCTCTTGACGGAAAAGAAGAATAAAAGAGGTGAAGAAAAAAATGAGCATAGAAGGCCATGAAACCCAAGAAGATGTTATTTTTTTTATTGAGTTAAAAACTCAATGTAAAAAAAAATAATGTTTTATCCTTGGTGGTCTTTTGCTTTTTCTTGTTGATTGTTGAACTTTTGAGGATTTGGAAGTGTTAAACATTTGACTTTACTCGAGGACGAGTAAAGAAGCTAAGTGTGGGGGAGTTGATATTCGTGTAATTTCCGATTGTATGTTTGTATTTTTAACTAGTTTTTATTAGTCGTAGTTGTGGAAATTACACACTTTTGGTGTAATATTTTATTTTCATTTTTATTTGTAATTTGTTTAGATTAGGATTATTCTGAGCTAAACAGGTCAAAGATCATCGAAAGGATCAAGATTGGACCTTAAAAGATCAAGGAAAGTGCAAGGAGACAAGAAAGATTTCGATTTGGAAAAAATACTCATGTACCCGGTCGGGTATTGCCTATACTCGATCGGGTATTCACTTGATTCGATTGTCCAAATCAAATCCGGGAACAAATGATCGTGGGAGCAAATTTTCGTGAAGATTTGTCACATACCCGATCGGGTATGCCGACATACCCGATCGGGTATGCCCAGAAAAGTGACTTTCTGGGCAATTTCCTAAGATACCCGATCGGGTATCCTATATACCCGATCGGGTATCAGACCCTGCAGCTCCCAAAAGCCTATAAATACACCCCTTTCCTTCACAATAAAATCACCAATTCCTATATACTTCTAAGCTCAGTTTAGACAAGTTATTTCTTTATATTTTCTTCATGTTTAGTCTCCAAATGAGGAGCTAAACTCTTCCATCTTGGTTTTGCTACTTTGAAGCTTAATGATTTGTAAGTTGTGAGTTATTTTCTTTAATCTTCTTCCTTGAATATTAATTACTTCCTATTCATATTCCATATTAATATATTGAAGCATTACCTAAAGGATCAACTAGTTTTGTTTCATATATTAATCATTACTAGAATCAATCGGTTAATACGCTTGTTATTAATTCGGTTCTTTCAAAGGTAGTAAACTTGGATTGTTAATGCATGCTTCTCATGGTTAATAAGCCAAGTGGAATTAATTATATTGATTAAACCAATAAACCGCTTGTGTTGAGGTTATCAATCTCAATCGTTTTCATCTTAAGTTTATTGCTACTATCAAGTTAATATACGGCGCTTGTTCTATATTGGCTTGATAGTAAGTTTTATTAATGAACGCATCTCGTTATTAATAACTACCCTCGATGAACTGGATATACTCCTCGATTGAGTATTCGAGAGGAAGATAGTTAAAGATATAACCGGGATCGACGAACATTTCATTAAGTGGATAAAAGTAAAACCAAGTCTCCTTATTAATTAAACCACATAACTCGTTCATCTTCGTGTTTAAAGATAATTTAAATTCATCAACCAAACATAAACCCCCCCTGTTATTACTTATTTATTTCTATAAAAAGAGAAGTGTTCCTTTCCCTGTGGATACGAACCTTACTTCACTATACTACGTATTAGTGTCGTATTGTATTATTATTTTGAGTGCACACCACGACAAAGTGCACGTCACGTAACATCTCTGATTTTTACTTGCAGAACTAAAATTTTGATATGTTCCGTTCTAGGTTATTTGTTTTTTCTAAAATTGTGAGGTTGTAATGTTAAGAATTAAACTACGCAACACGAAGAACAATAAGAAAGAACACACAAAATTTGGTAACCCAGTTCGCCACAAAGGACTACGTCTAGGGGCGCTACCAAGCCAGGATATTGCTGTTAATATTGGATTGATGATTACAAGGAGAGAGCTTGTATTTATAGAGAGTAAAACCTAACCCCATGCTTTTAAAAAAAAGCGCGGCCCCTAAGACTATTTTGCAGCTCCTGCTTTAAATTGAATTGGTGAAACTTTTTAATGTATGTTTATTTACATATAGTTCTTGTGTAATTCATGTATAGATTGTGTGATGATTTGAGATGTATTTTAGTTTTTTTTTAAGGAATTCAATATATTTAGATTATGTATTAGATATTTTAAGGGAAAGGGAGTAGCAGTCGAGAGAAAGAGAGAAAAGAGATAGAGGGATTGAGAAATGACATCGAAGGTGTATAATTTTGGCTGTATTCCCAATTGATTGTTCTAAAAGTATTAATAAAGATAAGGGTGTGGTCCCTTAGCTAACAACCCCCACATGCAGTACATACTAATTAAAAATAGAATTGGATGGCCCTAGTTTGTTTGCTTCTTATCCTTTCACTTTGACCTGCCCATGACCATACACGACAATACCCCCTTCTTTAAGACAATCATTGTCCTCAAGGATTTGAATCGTCTTTTTCTTCTCAAGGGTAGCCTGCGTCATCTACTCCATCCCCATCTTTGTTCCTGCAAACATAAACGAGAGAGAGAGAGAGAGAGAGAGAGAGAGAGAGAGAGGTCGTTGTCTTGATCAATGGGTGGGAGCTGAGATGCCACTACCAGATGGAAACTGATGCAACGCTTTAACAGGGAGACATGCAACACAGGGTGAATCTTGGCATCTTAAGGTAAATCCAATTAGTATGCCACCTTCCATATTCTCTCTAACACTGTGTATGGCCCATAGAAGTGAGCTGCAATTTTTTTTATTTTTGCGTAATTGTATGAAATTATGTCAATAATGTTGTAGTTTCGGATATACTTGATCTCGTACCTCAAATCCCCTATCAATCCCGTGTGTATATGCATAAAGCTTCATTCATTCTTCATTCATTCTTTGAGCCAATCTCAAATTTTGTTGCCTTAATTTCTTTATTGGTGCTTGTAGAGGGAATGGGAAGTGAGAGGGGTGGGGGTGAGTAGACATATAAGGCTTCAAAAGGCCCAGGTCATCTTGAGGACAATATGGTAGTTAGTGTTGTACTAGTACTTTGTCAGGGGTATCAAAAGGGGTCATCTTTGGCTTGATTGGTAGGTTAAATATTTCAATTTCAAATCAACATAAGTCAAGAGTTCGAAGCTGGTAGAAGAGGACGGAGATAAGAAGGAGGAGGAGCATGATGCTAGATGTCCTTAGCATCATGCTCATTCAACCTTTGAGATTAGTTTTAGGCTTGTAGAAATCGATGGAGACCAAGTTTAAATATATACGTTTGAAGGAAGAATCATTCTCTTCTTGCGGTGTGGGACAAAGAGATTTGGGGGGGGGGGGGGGGGGGGGGGTGAAAATAAGAAATTTTGGGGGAAAAAAATTAAAAACACCATGCCTTCCCATTGAAATTTAAAACTTGCTCTACTTGGGGATTGAGCTTGTGATGTATAAGGTGCACGCATCAGTCCAGTTTCTTCACACCAACATGGCTATTGGTTATATTTCGACGTTTATTATTATTAATTCTATGCCAAATCAGCCCTTGATTACAACATCATTCCAAAATTTTCATGCATAGACAAAAATGTGACTAACAACATAACAAATTGGAAACTATGGGTGTCAGTATCACTTTATTATGACAATGAAAATAATTTTTTGTGTCATTATCAAATATTTCCGGTGTGAATGTTGTTACCATCGGTGCCACTATCATCATGCGTGAAACATGTCATTGTAACTATGTCGTTGTGACTGTCGAATTTTTATAAAAATTTTAATTTATGATTTACTTTTTTGCCAAATTTTCCGTTGACTAGGGCAAGGGGCGGGCACTTGGATAGGGGTTAGAGGAGAAGAAATATAAAATTAATTAAACAAAAAGCATTCACATTTCTTAAAGAAAAAATAGTCATATTTTTATCTTATAAATGTGTAGATCTAAAGTTTATGAATTTCGTCAAAAAGTTGAGATAGACTAAAAAGCTACTACCTTCATCTCGTTTGAAGGTTTCCATTCAAATGTGAAATGTTTTTAAGAAGTAATTAAATAAAGTAATTTGAATGTAATTTGTAATATAGTTTTGATGAGTATATAATTGTCACACACTCCAGGGGCCTAGACAAGTCGGTCCAAGACTGCAACCCAAGTCATTTGCATAGTGGACCGATGCCCTGCCCTGAGGCCAAGACCTCACCTTTAGCTGAGCTCTCCACTGGTAAGCTCATTCCATTCTAGGTGAGCTATTTCAACGAGGCCAAGTTTGATTATTACTACCCCATGATTCCACACAGATGCCACAAGACGATGATGAGTGGCTTATTATTGAAAAAACTTGAATTTCATGATACCCTTATTCTGCCAAATTTCATATACAAATTTCTCATTCTAGATTTCTTTCAACTTCTCTCTAGAAATCTACTAGCCTGATCCATAGTCCACGACTAAGATAATGGGTTAATAATTTAAATATATAATGATACAATTGTCATTTTTTATTTTTGCTAAAATGAAATAAGAATCTTGATGAGCACCGGGCATGGCTAGATATGAATAATCCGATGAAACATACATTCAATGGCATCCGGGCATATCTAAGACTATATACCGTGGAATTGTGGATCAGTATAAAGATGTTTTGTTAGAAAAGTGACTAGATCCTCATCCTCACCCCCTTCTCACAATCATGTTTCATGTACATGTTTATTGTACATGTACAAATCATTTTACACGCCGGTTGAATTATTTGTGCACAAACAAATTTTTTTCACTTTGAGAAAAGAATCGTTTTTCATTAACCCATTATCTTTGCCAATAAATAAAATTGTCATTGCGAAAAAGGATTCTCTTCAATGGAAAAAATTGATCTATGCATAGGCAATTCAAAATTTCAAATGGCTTGTAAAATGAGGTAGTCTACCTCCCCGTGATTCCGCAATAATCTGTCTGTCTAATGTCTCTGTTTGGTTACGTTTGGGAATACATCAATCTCTGCTTTCATTGCCGGTCAATGTACGCAGCCCCACTCAAGGTTGCTTGTGTTCCCACTCAGCAATCGCCGATCACTACGTACGGACGCTAGCTACCTCAATTCCGACCCTGCTTATAAATACCACCGACTGATCAATAAAGAGGAATTGAGTATATATTAAGCTGATCGAGCAAACGGAACCTAGCTTGTTCCGGCCTCCCTAGCTTTAAATTATCATGGCGCCCCATTTCTGCTTGGCCGCCATTATCATCCCATCGCTATTCCTCGCCCTCTCCTCTGCTTCGACGAGCCAACTGCCGCCCTCCGCCGTTAATGCCTGCAAGGTCTCGAGCGACCCACCGACTTACGAGTCCGAACTGGCTACCTCCGGCCTGAAGACCTCTTCTGACCCGACAGCGGTCCAGATCATCCACGCGGCGATGAAAGTCTCTTCCGATAAACTTGGGACTGCCAAATCCAAGGTGGAGGATATCCGGAAAAGCTCCGCGGGCAATCACAACATGACAGTCGCGGCGGACACGTGTCTCGAGCTGTACGGATACGTGGAGCACCGGGCGAAATCCGCCGGCGTGGCCCTCGACGGCGGCGAGATCAAGGACGCCCGGGCGTGGATGAGCGCCGCATTTGCGTACCAATACGACTGCTGGTCGGCGCTCAAGTACGTCAACGAATCCTCGCAGGTCAACGACACAATGGCGTACACGTGGGCACATCTTCTGTTCACCGGCGACGTGCTGGGAATGCTGGCCAACTACGACCAGAAAGGGGGCGATACCACGTTGTGGGGCCCGACGAAAACCGAGCGCAACGGGTTCTGGGAGAAGACCGAATACGAGTCCGGGCCGGCTATCGTGGGCGGGGTTCCATCCGGGTTGACCGCGAGCGTCACGGTGTGCAAAACTAATAAGCAGTGCAATTACCAGAAAGTGCAGGACGCCGTAGATGCCGCTCCGACTTGGGGCCGGCAGAAGTTTGTGATACTGATAAAGGCCGGGCTCTACGAGGAGATAGTTCGGGTCCCGTTTAATAAAACGAATGTGGTGTTTGTAGGGGAAGGCATGGGCAAAACTATCATTACTGGAGACTTGAATGTGGGCATTCAACTAAAAACCACCTACCACACTCCAACTGTTGGTAACACCATATACACTCTTCATTCTCGTTTTGGCCTCCTAATTTTTCTTCGAACCCTCATCATGTCCAACCGACAAATTCACTCCAATTCATAGTGTGCATGAATTGTACGCAAGTTCTACCCTCTAGTTGCATATGTGCACAAGCAATTCGTTTAAAACGAGACAGAACTTGATGTCAAATTGTCTGTGTACACACGTAATGTACACATTTTGTGTACATCATGTGTACACCAAGAATGGTCCATATTGTCAATTTGTCTGACAAACTAGCCACTCAACTCGAAAAGCTTGTGACTTTTTAAGGTTATTTTTGGATGTCAGATTGTGTAATTTTGAAATATATGAGACGAATTCAACAATATTTTCCAAAAAGAATAATCATCATACATTAATAAATAAAATGTAGTCACATTATTAATGGGCAGGTGTGAATGGAGACGGATTCATGGCGAAGAACCTCACGATCAAGAACACGGCCGGCATCGGAGCTCATCAAGCAGTGGCCCTCCGGCTGGACAGTGATCATTCCATCATAGAAAGCTGCGAGTTCATCGGCAATCAAGACACTCTCTACGCCCACTCCCTTCGCCAGTACTACAAGGACTGCCACATCCAAGGCAACGTCGACTTCATCTTCGGAAACTCCGCCGCGGTCTTCCAGGACTGCACGATCTCCGTCGCACCCCGGCAACAGCACCCGGAGAAGGCGGACAAGGCCACCGTGACGGCCCACGCGAAGCTCATCGCGGCTCAGACCACGGGCTTCGTCTTCCTCAACAGCATAATCAACGGGACGGAGGATTTCATGCAGTTTTATGCCAAACAGCCCGAGCAGTTCGAAGGCAGCTGCTTTCTGGGAAGGCCGTGGAAGGAGTATTCGAGGACGGTGTTTATAGACTGTACGCTGGGGGATCTTATTTCTCGGGAGGGATGGGAGATCTGGGACGCCAACTCCACTTTGAGTAACCTTTACTATGGGGAGGTGGGCAGCAAAAATGCGGCCGGAAAAACTGTTGACACGACGAAGCGTGTTCCTTGGAGTAGCCAAATCGACAGTAAAAATGTGCCTTCCTTCTATCCCCAGAATTTCATCCAAGCTAGTAAATGGTTCTCCAACTCTTAATTAGCTTCTTGATTATGATCAATTATACAATTCAAGTCCCGCCTGGGCTATATATGTACTCTTATCGTCACTTCATAACTAAAATTTCTCTTGTAATTTTCTCTTGATTACAATTTCCTCCTTTTTCTACATAATATGCACCTCCCTCTTATTTAGTTGTTGTAACATTTGCATATCATGTTTTTCAAGCAACTTCGACCGTTCGTTACTATCTAATTGGGCATTAACAAAAATCATTCAAAGATTAGATGATGAAAATATATAAAAAACGAGACGTATTTTTCATAATTAATTTACATACATATGCATTTATAATTAACATTTTGTGAATCATGCAAAATTTAATAATTATTAAACAGCTCATGAGTAAATTACTTACGAAGTACTACGTATTAGATTTGCTCATTTGCCATCAACTTTAGTTGTATTACATTTTAGATTTGGCAGTACAATCATATCATACCTTTTAATTAATATATGGAGTAAAGATTAGAAACGGTGTTTATAAACATAATGCATACTAGTATGTAATACCAACGGGTACTAAAAGTTGTTTATAAAAATGTATGCTTGTGTCCCAAAAGGATGGTCTTGTATTTTCTTTTTTGGATGTCCCAAAATGATGATCATGTTTCCCTTTTTGGTGAAGAACTGAAAGTGGATTATCATTTATGCTCCTCCTTTTCAATGAACAGTAAAAGTAAAAGGATGAACAATACAATAAAGTAAGGTTCTTTAGTCTTTCTACCACATTTTCTTAATCTTTGTGCCCAAAAGAAACAAGACCATCAAATTGGGACGGAGGAAGTAATATCTTAAGTGTAGTGAGCACACTTGTAATGTAATTATACTTATAATAATTTATGTTCAATTTCTTAAAATAAGTAATCTTCTTACTATTGCTATTATAACTATTATTACTTTTTTTATGTTATTTTACTCGGTATAATAACCAGGGGCGTATCCAACGTGGGGGCAAGGGGCAGCTTCCCCCACTCAACTTCACCCAACCCCTATATATATAATATTTTAATTAGTTGTATATATTTGTTTCTAAAGTATATACTTCGTATATTTTAAATGTTAATAACGAGTTTTGAGTTAGTAGTCACTGTACTAGTCACCATGGTGTAGTGGAAGTGCTGATGCCTGTAGCTTTGAAATCTCCTTAAGGACCAGGGTTCAACTCTAGTTTGCTTCATTTTGAGCGTTTTTTTTGTTTTTAAAATGGCTTTACATGAAAGATTAACTTTTGTCTTGTTAGAAACATTTAAACTATATCAATAATTCAATATAATCGTAATATCCAATGCCATTCATAAAGTTTAACAATTACATAGGTAGGTTCTTGAAAATAATAAACTTATTATATATATTTGAATGTATACTTGTGAATTCGTATCTTAAATTAACTCAAAGTACATATATGATCATTCCCTTATTTGATTCACTTATTTATTAACATAATTTTAAACAAATTACAAACGTATCGTGCTTAAAATTTATTTCTAACAAAGTCAAATTTATTTACTATGAACTTTTAGGTATGATATTGTTATGTTTTTGCTCAGTGAATATTTTTTATTATTTAAAAGTAACTTTGCAATTTTTTTTAATGTAGTGCATGGTTTGAAATAGCGACCCGCTACCGCTATAGCGGCCGCTATATAGCCGTCGCGGTAGGGGCCGCTCGCTACCGCTACGGCCCACTATTCGTGTGTGATTTTCAAATCACGGGAAAAATCCACTATGCCGCCCGCTACAGCCCGCTATTGACATTTCTGGCAGTACATCACGAACTGTTTGATGTGTAAATGTGTAAATGTTGTGTGAATGACGTGAAAAAATACATTAATGGTGATGCATGAAGTGAAACTACAAATTAAATGTTGTGTGAATGATGTGAAAAAATACATTTATGTTTTGTGCAATTGAAAATATTTCACGCTGCTGCAACCGCTACAGTCGGCTACAGGCCACTACCGCTGCCGCTACAACTATTTAAAACGTTGATGTAGTGAGTCCATAATGTCTTTGTGATAATATAAAAGACAAGTTCGCCCGTTCGCGAGTTTTTCTGGCTACCTCAGTAGGTACAGAAATTTGTCATTCGATGACTTGATCTCCTCTCAAAATGCGCATGCATACCTTGGTTTTTATTGACATCCGCTTGTCTCTAATTAGGGAATACTACGTACTTGTCAAAAGTTCAAAACTGATAATATTTGGAGAAACAATGTGTAATCTAGAAGTCGGGTGCCTGTTTTTTCTAAAGCAAAAGTACTACGTATGTTCCCCATGTTACACGACTTATTTTTTACGGAGCGAGTAAAAAGCATGGTGCTAAGTGCTAACATATTCCTTGAAGCACATTGAAAGAATGATTACCAAATAAAGATTAACTTTCCTTTTTGTTACACGACTTAGTACGGAGTATTATATACCTTTCCTCTGTTCCTTTTTAGTTGCAACGATCCACTTTTCACGCTTGTCAACGCACAAGTTTGACCACTAATATCTTTGATTCCTTAGTAGTAAAAAAATTAAAAAAATCAGATTCTGAAAATTCAAAATGAGAGGAATTTAAAAATATTTTTTTAAAAATTTAATTTATAATACATTAATTAATAAAATATAGTCAATGTAGAATATGTGAATAGTGTAAAATATAGTCAATATAGAATATGATTTGATTCGGTGTGATTTAGTTCGACTTAATTTCTATTAAGATTTTATTGAATTTTAATATTTTATACTACCAAGATTTTATTAAGTTTTAATATTTTATACCACCACACGATTCAATTACTACTAAAGTGATTAAAAAGATAAAAGTTATGATTTGATCGATATTTGAGTATAATAAAGTGAGGAGATATTATCCGAAATAGGACTAAAATGTTTGAAAATTCCAAAACAGGACTGTCATGTTTTTATTCTCAAAATAGGACTAATTACCGTCATGTTTTGGCAATACCAGACTTCAAACATGGCAGTATTTTCCAAACTTAGCAGTAATTACTCATATTTTGGGAATAAAAAACATGGCACTCCTAAAGTGAAATATTGTAGATCCCATATTTTTTTCTCAAAAAGAAAATGTGACACTTTTTTGTACAATTCGAAAAGGAAAGTAAGACAAGTAAAATAAGATGGAAGGAGCAACTCATTTCAATTTTATAACTTTATTTAGTTTTTCATGGATTCATTTCAGTTTAGTCCGATAATTGGAAGAAAATACTAACAACTCAAATCTGAGTGCATATGATTCGATTTTGTCTAGTTTGATTTGATACGATTCAATCATTTATATGTATAGTTTTGCGCAGTATCTTTCAATAATTTATTTAACTGTCTTCTTAATTGAACTTTGAACTGAAATTTGATGGGCATAAATTAGACTTGATGAAGGTCATGCTAAAAAAATCACCAAAAAATTCCATTGGGAACTGTCCAAAACAGTAAATTCTGCACGGAGATTCCGATCATGAGCTCCTGACTCGAACGGAACTCTTCAATCACAATAGTAACACAAGTGATTTCCAAATTATTAAATTTATTCTTGCAAGGGTTTAATCAATAGCAATATGTCTCTTATTGCGGAGTAATGATGTTTTCTTTTGGACTGTTGTCAGTCCCAGACCAGACTAGATCACACCAGATTAGATCAGACCAGACTTAAACAAACTAGAAAAGACCAAACCAAACTTTAACGATTATAAAATATATAGAGATCAGACATTTACATGACCAGTTTAGAACAGATTAGACCTGATTTAAACAGACTAGACTAGTCCACCAGCAAATTAGTCCAACAGAAAACATCCTAATTGTCAAAAGTGATGACAATAATAGAGTTTTTTGAGGATAAAGAATACACCGTCCATGTCCTTTGATCCTTATGTCACTCGTCTTTCTTTCAATCAATCAATGAAATTAAGTCAATATTAATTATAGAGCTAGTTAGAAAGGTAAATCCAATATTAAGAAATAATGACATAGATATTGGGGATTTTTGGTTAAGAGTTTATCAATCATTTTATGGTTGTTTTTATCATTTTTAGCCTTTTGACCAAACTCATCAGCTAATAAGGGTGTTTAATTAATCAGCTAATAAGGGTGTTTAATTAATTGATTGCATGACTTAACTTTTTGTCCCAATCTGCCAAAACGAAAAACACCATTAAAGGCCGCGTATTGAGGTTGGCCGTTCAAGAATGTAACGGATATTCCTACTTTACCCAATGCCTTCTCCTCCTACTCGATTCCCGCAACATCTTCTTATAGAAAGAACACTTCCAGACACTTCCAGACATAGTTTTAAATAGCGGTAGCGGCAGGCGACAGTAGTAACAGTAGCAGCAACTGTCATCACAGTAACGGCTATTGCGGCCGCTGTGATGCCCGCCGATGCGTATAGCGATCGCAACGGCGTTAAATATTTTCAAGTGCGCACAACATTTAATTTATGGGTGATAAAGTTAATAGAAACATAATGAATACTTGTTTGAACACCGAAACAATCAATAAGAACATGACGATTAAAAGAGAGTAGTAATTAAAAATATTGCTAAACTAAATAATTATTACAAACGCAATTTAAAATGTTTTCAAACTAAACAAGTCGTAAAACATCTTTAAATTCTTATGAAATCGTCACATGAGACCATGTACTCAATAGTGTCATATAAATACGTCTACTTATGAAAAGCAATCAAATGAGTCCTAGCGATCTGTTGAGAACCTAATTATCCTGGTTTTAGCATGCTTTTAGCTATTTCTTAAAAAAAATTATAGAACTGACGTGAAATGTGTGCCTATGATTGGCTTAAATACTAGTACTAGGCAAAAATAACACGTAAGCTAAAATCAGGATTAGGAGGTTGTCAAAGAGTCATTTTGACTTATCTGATTGTTTTTTTTATAAGTAGACGTATTTATATGACACTTTATTGAGTATATGACCTTATGTGACGATTCAGTAACAGTAGAATACCTTATTTGACCCTTTTCCTTTTTTTTTATTAAACTGCTTTTTTCAGTTATACTTTTTGTGTAATTGGTAAATTTATACTCCGTATTTGTTAAGTTTAGGTCTCAGACACAACCTTTTTTGTTAAAAATGAGAAAAGTTTGATTGTTTTTT